GCATGCGGACGATTTCAAAGTTTACAAAGGTGCCCTTGAAAAAAAAAAGAGAAGGAAGGAGGGGGGCAGGACGCCGGATGAGAATTCAAGTAAGTGCTTCTGCAGGCGCAAAAGTCATATGTAAAGTCAGCGCAGTAGAACGTCGTCTTCAAATTGAGTCTGTGTGTTGTCGTAGAAGCATCAAACCGTAGACAGTTAAAGTTTGATATTGCTGTATCGCGATAGTTTCAAACGCATCAGATTAATTATAATGAGGAAAGAAAAGTGCTGACGGTCGACCTCACTTTCTCCCCCCAAATTCAGCAACAGGCCACCGCCTAGCTGTCGTTCGCCTGAGGTAAGATGGGCGCAGTGCTTTCAGCGTGCGTCTAGTTAGTCACGGCTGCTCTCTAAGGGATGACTGGACGCAGGCAACACACATCCTGGCCTCGCCAGTTGCCACTGCTACTTGACCACCGCAACTGGGAGTCCTGTGCACAATCAATCTCTCATTCTGGTGACTTCTGTCCTTTCCAACAACTCAGTATTCAACCTGGTGATTTTAGTTGTCTGAGTACACCTTGTGCTTAGACGCTACACTCTCTGCAACATCCTCAGTACACCTTCGGTAGAAGTAATAACTATGGATGTGGCCTTCAGTTATCCAAACGAACGCCAAAACTCCAGCGCGAGTTCGTGTCGTGCCGGCTATGACCAGCAGTTATGATAATGAAATTGTCAACAATAAAAATAGAAACACGATTATAACCAAAGATAATATGGGTCAAAGTGGTGACCTGGACAGGAGCCGAATCATCACGAGAGGGACTTAAGCAGCGTCGAGTTCCACTCAACCCTCCCAGTGGCAGGACTGAGTCAAAATTAAAATGCCTTGGAGCTCGAGAGAGACACTCGTCACCCTCCCATGGATTCCCACCGGTCGACATGCTCATTGGGGAATGGTCGCTGCATTCAGCACAGATTAGTAGACGCATACACATGCAATGCGACGTTCAATATGCAAAAGGGACTACCTCTCCCTAGCTAACTTACACACGGTCAGTGGCTGGTTTCAAGAAATGTTCACCGAAATCCTGAAGTACGTTTTCGATTAGGAAAGATAACTTAAGTGGGGTTCTAAGCCTCAGTACAGCATAATCCCAAGGTGATTTCAGACGCGGTGGGATTCTAGCTTTTGAATGCACCTTTCTAGCCGACCGGAAAATTACACTCTGTAAAAATGACTACTTGTAGTTATTTGGTACGTCTTCTTCAAAGGAAAGGAATACGTCGGTTTGGAGGAGTTCATAATTAAGAGAAATTTTAAGACATAGCAATATCAAAAGCACCATATCTGTTCGATTATAGACCCCTCTCGTGAAGTAAAAATATGATTTGATTTTCTTTACGTTGGAAGCATACAACTTGTAGACTAAAAAGCCCTGAGAACAAATCAGACTTAAAATTATTCGGGGATTGCATAAATCTTCAAAAACCTCAACATACCCTTAAGTATAACATTTGAAGGAAATGTGATGTGCTACCAAATGAATACGAGAGGGAATGTTTCGACTTACGTTCTCTATAAAATATATATTTGAATTTATCAGAGTAATAAAAACTACATGCTACTTATACGTCATTTTTGGTCGAGTGCAGTTTCTGCAGGCAGTCACAACCACCGACGTAACTATTACCGGCGGTCTGCTAAAGCCGACATAAAGTCGAAGATTGAGAGCTTACTATGTACTTGACCTGGTTATCGCTGTCCACCTTCTTTTTATTGCATCGGAGGACCTGTACGGCCAAAAAGTCGCCTTGTGGGTGCCAGATCAGACTGATTTCGGCCACAGAGAAGAGGTTTTTGGTGCACAATTCGTTTCGCGAAGGCACGCTCACCAGAGCAACTCTGCATGAACAGGAAAACAAGGCAGTGAAAGCAAACGGACGCGAAAAATAGAGCGAAAACAAAAACAGTGCAAGAATCGCATTTTATCAAGGTTCGCAATAATGAGCAGTCGTCGACGGGAGTCAGTGAGGCGCAGAGAGGGTAACAACAGAAGAGGATTGAGGTGGGTCAATATGCCCGTGTGGAAACGCATGCCGTCCACACACAACACAGCTTCACATGTAGCACCTTCGTAACAGAGGAGGAGCTGTGAAAGCGCTATGAAGTCGTCAACATGCATCGATCCGGCCCATGCAGCTTTACAATCAATCAAAGTCGTGAGGAAGTCAAAAGGTACGCGCACTCCCCAGCCCGCGCCCTTCAATATTGCGTGCTGATCGGGTACGGCAGAACGGAGGCGTAGGGCTCACACAAAGTTAAGATAGGCGATCCCAGTGACAGACAGACAGACCAGCTCGTGCACAGGA